GGCTGCCCCATGAGCCCACTGCCAGGCGCTCTTCCTGGGCCTCACCTCCATCTCCTGTACAATAAAACAAAGTGAGGGTGACAAAGACAGCCTCCCGGGCCATGGGAGGGGCACCATGGGGAAATGCTTAGGAAATGGGAGTGGGAGGTCCCAGATAAAGTCCAAATGATGGTAGCCAGAGCCCCCAGTGATGAGGGATTAATTATTTTCTCTGTAGATGAGGGATTGCTTTCAGGGAGTGGGAGATGAAATGGCAGCCCCAGTGCTGACCAGGAGAGGGAGAGGGAGGAGGTCTTCCCCTCCCTACACACAATGGAGCCTAACTCAATCTAGTTCAAAGCAGTCTGTGATGCTGGAGGTGCTCTGTCAGTTCTTGGAGGTGGCATGGTACAGTGTGGCGGGGCCCCCAAGCCACTGCCTGGCTCTGGCAGAGGCTCCCTGGCTCTCTTTCCATCTGTAAGACAGCAGGAAAAATAATGCTATCCTTCTGGAGGGAACGTTGTTGGGGACACGGTCTCCATGCCGCCCCCAGACCTCCCCTCTCTCTTTCCTGCACACACTTATGTCAAGAAGACTGATGAAGCAGCACTGGGACGGACGTGTCCCCCAGGAACTGGAGAGCTGAATATTTATCAGTCGGACTGCGGTGGACTCGGCACTCTGAACTCCGAAAGAACTTCCAGGACTTTCATTTTTTCCCAAATGATCTTGACACCCATGCTCTGTGGCCCTCTCTGGCCCAATGTCTACATCTGTGGTGTTTTGCCTTGCTCAGATAGTGTTTCATAGAGGCAGGTTTGGTAAAATGTATTTCCGTTCCGATAAAATATATTAAAATATATTTCCATTCTAAATAAGTTGGTGCCTGTTTTGAATTAATCGCCATGATGCACAGTAATTAGGTATATATGAATCCACCAGACAGTTCTTCCTTTGGGACGGATGTGCTAATTCCATTTCGTACCATACAGTGGCATATCTATACTGTGCACCTGAAAATTTTTCCCAGAAATGAGACTTCCACTTTCTAAAATGTAACTCGAGATTATTCTCCTTAAATTCTTTAGAAGTTGCGGCAGCCGCTCAGAAAATTTGAGTGTGCACAACTAAAGAATTCACTTACTTCCCCAGAATCCAGGCGGAAGCCAAGTAAAACAAGTACGAGGGCCCTTCAGTCAGTGTCTTGGCATTGCAGACTTGTACAGATAATAGTTGCCTCCAAGGATGGGAGACCAGCTTCAAAGCCTGCTTTGCTAGCTTTGGGATGGGGATTCATGAACTATTTTTCAGAGACTCCTGCTCTCCAGATCTCTCTCTCTCTCCTGTCTTGTCTCCTTCCCTCCTTCCCTTCCTCTCTCCTGCCCCCCTTCTCACCTTCCTATTTCCTCCTTCTCCCTCCAGCTCTCTGTCTCTCTCCCTGTCTCTCTTCTCTCTGCTCACCCCTCATGGTTCTGCCTGACCCATTTATATTTAGGAATCGCTATTTCTATATGTGGAGATCACAGCTTCCCCTCCCTCTTTGCCTTCTCTATGTTCCACCCTTAAAAGATTTTATAACTAATAAAGGATTTCTTTTCTTGCTTGCTCCAGTCACTACCTCCTTCCATCTGGAGAATTCCAATATCCTGCTGTGTGTAAGTACCTAGACTTACTACTCTACTGAGGCAGGTAGACCTTAGTGATCCCACCCGACTTGTCTTTGCAAAGTTTACTAGAATAAAACAAGAGGCCTCCTCACTTCGGATAAATAATGGGCAGATTCTATTTTCAGGTGCAGGGCTTAAAATTAGGGGTTGTATTTTCCCAGTAATCAGTCACAGAGGTATTTGGGTGAACAAACTATTAAAAAAAAAAACCAACCTTTTAGATCTTTCCTTAACTAATTAATGGGCTAGCCTCAACACCCACCCATCTGAACCTATATCTGTAATTCAGACTACCTTTCTTTTTTTTTTAAAGATTGTATTTGTTTATTCATGAGAGACAGAGGGAGAGAAAGAGAGAGAGAAGCAGACTCCCAAGGAGCAAGGAGGCCGATGCGGGACTCGATCCCAGGACCCCGGGATCATGACCTGAGCCAAAGGCAGACACTTAACCATCTGAGCCACCCAGGCGCCCATCAGACTGCCTTTCTAAACCTGTGGTTTTCAAAGTGTGGTCCCTGGACCAACCTGCAAATTTATTAGGAATAGAACCTTTTGAGCCCTTCCCCAGACAGAGTCCAAACCTGGGGATGGGCCCAGCAGCCTGTTTATGAAGCCCTCCAAGTGATTCTGATTCAGAGTGAAGACTGCCGTTGTACCTGGGTCTACAATGTTGATGGAAGTTTTTATAAGCGATGTCGGCTTTAGAAGAAGTGAAATGGGGGCAGCCTGGCTGGCTCAGTAGGTAGAGCTTGGGACTCTTGATCTCAGGGTCATGAGTTCAAGCCCGACATTGGGCACAGAGCTCATTTTAAAAAAAGAAAGATGTGAAATGAACCAAAATCAGAAAGCGTGGGTTGAACCCCTGATAGTCATAACCTACTACAGCTCTGTGAATAGGATCAACATCCCCACATCATACGGATGTGGAAAAGCACCATAAAATGGGTCAAGTTCTTAACACAGCTTCAACCATGAATTACTGCGTGCCGGCGTCTCCTTGCGCCACTAGGGGGCGCGCTAGCCTCTCCAAAGGGGTCACCCCGAGAGACTCAGCGTTTTTGTCTTTGAGGTCCTGTCATTCTCTGTATAAACAAGTTACGTTCAAGTGTTTAGGATATAAATTACGACCATGCCGGCTGCCTCGGAAGGAATGTAAACACAGCACTGTGGTCGGAGCAAACTCTGAAACTGACTTCATAATTTATAGCAGGCCCTTGTGTAGCTCAGTATAAAAAGGAAAAAAGCCCTATTTAACTGCAAATATGATAATGGAGACACAAAAAGCATGTTTAAATCACTGCTTAATTTTTGAAAATATAGAAAGGAAACCTGAGGATTAGAAAGATGGTTAAGCCTTTTGAAAACAAGATGTTTTACTAATGAGACGTGTTTGGACTTAAATTTGCTTGGAATACAAAAACCTTCTGTGTGAGATATCTACTGAGTGGTATTAAGTGCCTGGCAACTGATGGGAGGGGAGAGGGTGGAAGACCTTTTAGGGAATGAGAAACAAAGGTGAGTTTTCAAAAGCAAAAGCAAAAACAGAATACCAGCCCTCGGTTGGGAAAGAAAACCCACAGCTTGATCATGGGTTGAGAACCTTCCTGTTCCTGCTCAGATCGACTGTTGCCAAGGCTGCCCATGATTTTGAAGGACTGGTCAAAAAAAAAAAAAAAAAAGAAAGAAAAAGAAAAAACAGTCCTGCTGCCTGGTTGGCTTATTTTCTCTCTTTTGAACCCAGAGCTTTACCAGCCCTGCCTGTAGTATTTGCGATTGAGGAAGCTTGGGATATCAAGCAAGGAAAAGGAGCTCAGAGGGAATCCCTGAAGGGGATCCCTTGTTAAAAGGAAGGAAGGAGCAAGGGGAACAAGGGTGGATGGGCAGAGATGGGTGGGGGTTGAGGTGCTCCTGCGAAGCAGGGTTGGCCAGGCCCTGAATTGGGGGGTGGGGACAGCCACAGAACATCTTTTGAGGATGAGTTCCTGCTTCTGTTACCCTCCAAGGAAGTTAAAAGATCAAATGGTCACAGACTGCCCATTACCGCTCCACAGCCATCCCCCTCTGGACTCTTTAGGATCTGACCACCACCCACAATAAAATGTGATCAGCACTCATACAAAACTGTGACTTGCAAAGGGAAGCTGGTCCTGTTCTTTGAACACCTACTACCCCTTGACTGCCACTCAGCCCAGCCCTAGGTGGTGACTTTCCACTCTGCCCATCACTCCCTACCGGTGGGGAAGAGGAAGGAGCAAAAGGCAAGGCTCTCCTTGGCCGCAAGAAAGAGAACAAAAGGGGCACAAAACTTGGTTTCCTCAAATCAGACTCTTGCCTTCATTATCTTGCCTGTTTTCTTTTAAGCTCCTTTCACCTTCTGGTTTTTGTTTAGCCAGAAGGAGCTAGGGTGAAGGAAAGAAAGAACAGAAAAAGTTCCTTCTCTTTCTCTCCTGAGAAGACCCACAATCAGAACCTGGCCTGTGTTACTCAAGGCACAGACCCCACACCACGTCAATTATACAACTTGGGGAAAAAAACCCCAACAGTGTAGGGTTGCATTGCTAGCTGGTGGAGAAGAGAGACTGGTGACCCCAGGATGCCCATGGAGGAAATAGATCCCTAAAACGGCTATTTGTCATATATATTTTATTGAAAAAATTTTACATCAAAATAGTTTGGCAAACTGTAAAAGTATACATAAGTGCAAATATATCCTCCTTTTAAAATACAAGCAAAGTGTGAGTATACACGAAAATCATAAAAATATCTTTAAAATATGGTGGTAGAAAACAACCTTGTAAAAAAATGTTGTATTGTCACAATACTGAAAACCACTTTCTTAAACTAGACACATTGTTTCTAAATACTTTCTTAATAATGTTCTTTGGCACCTGTATCCAAACTTAGTGTTTGGCAAAACAGAACTCTCTTACTTGGCTAGGCAACAAGATGAGGCTTTCTTGAAGTCTTGTGCTTAGCACTGCCTTTTTGAAAAGCACAAAAATTTTCATAGACAAAGAAAAACACACACACACAACTTGCGTTTTTCAGACCCTGATGACTGAAGGTAATGAAGATCCCAGAGTTACATGTTTATGTTTTTCATGTGGTAACTTTTTACCATCTCCGCTAAAAAGCTGAGTTCTCAGTTGGCTCTCTTCCTTATGGGGAGCCTGCACATATTCGTACTAGGGGCATTACTTTGCCAGGGGTTGTTCTTCTACCAATGGTAGACAAGTATCAGTGAACAGCGCTGGCCTGGGGATTCTGGCTAAGTGACTGGTGTGCTACTTACTGCTAGCGCCGTGCATAGTGGGGGAGTCCACCTCAGTTCATTCTGCCCTGCAGAAGAGAGAGCAGAGAGTGGCCTTGGCATGGCCTCCCTCCCTCTATTCACATGACACAGGGCTTAATATCCTGGCAGACACTCTGGTGGTGGTGATGGTGATAATATGGTCCGCTTGCAGAGGGGTGGAAAGAAGAAATGCCATTAAAGTTGAGGACAAAATCTTTTCTGTCACACACCGGGGTAGAGTGATGCTGGTATCGAGGCAGTCCCACTGAAAGAAGGAAGAAAAGAAAAACTCTTCAGAGACACAGTCATCCAGCTGATGATGAGGCATATTACTTTTTAAATTTTAATTAACTCACGCCTTATTTTGACTCAGGGTAAGAAAGTGTCTTTTGTCTATTGTTATAAAACTGGTAGAGCAAACCCACCTCTAGAAATTTCTCAAAGTTTCAGACTGGGTCGTGGTGGGGGGGGAGTCTCTGCAATCACTATGTTTTGTTTTGATGTACCTGCACACACAGAGTACGATCCTCCTCTAAACCGGGTTCTAGTGTGCCTGGGTTCCCCTTTTATTCCTGGAGCCTCAGGAACGCTTCAATCGCGGGGGGAGATTCCGCGCGGGGACCCTTTGACCCACGCTCTCTGTCGGGTGCCCTAAGCGCAGGGCTCCCGGCCCTTGCAGCCAGAGCTCCTGTTGCAGAGGCCAAGCCCCCTACCCCAGAAACACCACTGTCGCCCTCACTTCTTGTTTTGAGCCTCCTGCCTATTTCTCAACTAACTGGCCCAGTCGGAGTAGCAGGTCACAGCAGGGATATTCATTGTGCCAAAAAGAGGTGACAGAAAACAATTCCTTTGCAAGACAAAGGGCCTGGAAAGAAAGTACTGGTCGTTCTAAATTCTGAAAGTTTCAGGCTTCCCTTGGAAAAGCCCGGCCTCCAGGGAGCAGATAATGCTCTTCGATAAGCGCACAGCTGTAGACCCTTCCGCACATGGAGGTGTCAGGCAGCGCGGGGAGCCCCTTAGAGAGCTCTGGGATGGCAGAGGGCGGAGAAGGCTCTCACTCCTCTCCGGGGCCGCTCCTCTGCGGAGGCCCAGAGCCGGACCACTGGGCGCCAACCCGCTGCCGACTTTTGCTTTTGCTTTCTCGGCGCCTCCCGGCCCCGGGGCGCAACTGACCGGCGGCGTCCGGACCGCGCTGGGGCCCGGACTTCTCCCGGCTCCAGTCTCTTTCCGCGCCGGGCTCGGTGAGGCCTCTTCGCCTGCGTCTTTTCTAGGTACCCGCGCCTCGTGGGACCGTAAATTGCACGTTGGGGCCGGGCCGGATTCGATTTTTGAGTGCATGAAAACCGTACTCGCCCGCCCGCGGCGCTCGCGCCTGGCTCTCACCGCCTTGGCCTGGCAGCATCCCAGGGCTTACGGAGCGACCAGGCTGCGAGCGGTCGCTGCCTTGGGCCAAGTTTGTTGCCCGGTAGCACCTATTGTCGCCTAAGGCGCGCCGCATTGCTCTCAGAAGGCAGCAACAGGTCCACGCGCCCCAGGTGTGTGCTTGTTGCTCTGCACACAGGTGCCTTCGCCCATCACGTTACAGCACGTCTCAGTGCCAGTTCTATGAGCTCAAAATAGCTGGCCTAGACAGGACCCAGAGCCTGAGCTCATAAGCTACGACCGACCGAAGGCCGCCGTCAGCTCTTTGATGTGACCAGAGAGAGATAAAAGCCCTAGCTCCTTCTTGAAAGACTCACTGTACTAAATGAGGGGTGCGGGGCCTCCCTGAGCACGCGGCCATTGGCCGCTGCATCCCAAGTGAGACCGCGCAACCCTCGCGGTGTGTTGTGTGTGTGCGTGCGTGTATGCTGCGGGGAGCCTTCTCGGACCACAGCCTCGGCCTGCTCGGCCTCCCAGCTCCTCGCTGGGCCATAGTCTCCCGGCGGGCCACGGTCCACCAGCGGCGCACTCCTAAACAGGCCCCGCCGCGCGCGTACACCCAGCCTGCTCCTGCTGAGCCCCCACCTCTCATCCGCCTGGGGGATGCCAACTAGGACGGGGCGGGGGGAGGGGGGAAGAGAGGGATGGGAGCCAGAGGACGAGGGAAGAAGGGGCAGAGCGTCCTGGTCGGGCCTCGGCCCCAATCATGACCTTCCCAGCATTCCCAGGCTCTGCCCAAAGGTCGTGCGAGGCTCCCCGGGAAGGCCGCTGCGGGAGGCCGGCCTGCTCTGGCTCCGCCGTTTTCGTTCTGCAAGTGTTGTGTTTCTGGATCCCCGAATTTCTGGGACTTGTGCGTGAGCTCGGGTGTGTTGGGTGGGGCGAGGGCGGCCTCAAAGAGCAATCATGAGTCTCTTTCTTTCTTGCGAGTTCTTTTGTTTTTAATTTTTCGGTACTCTTTCAGGGCAGCTGCAAAACCTCGAAGTGTGGGTTCAAATTGAGTAGAGCCCGCTTGGAGAAGGGGAACGGGGAACACTAGGAGGGCAGCGGGCAGAGCGGGGAGAGGAGCGTGGGCAGGAGAGTGGGGGAGTGGGCATGGCCTGGGGTGAGCGGTGATTGACAGCCAGTCCCAGGGGATTAAAAAAAAATGAGAGAGAAAGGTCGTCTGTATTGGTTACTTGTTGAAATTCCCATAAAAATTGAACAAGACTCTGCTCTCAGTGGGTTAAGTCAGGCTAAAATCCTCTCCGGTGTGGTCCTGCCGAGACTGTCTTTGTTTAGTTAACCTCTGAGACCCGCATTTAAAAGGCCTATTTGGGAAATTTCACCGTCCAGGGAACCAACATCTTTTGCCCATTTCTGGGCTTCCCGCCTCCCCTGCGGCTCTTGTTGCACGCTGATTCACGAACATATAATGTGTACATCATCCTCTGAGCCTTTTTCTAATTGGGGTGAAATGTAAGTGTGAGCTAGAACATCATTTGATAGGCAGATTAGCCTGATTTTAATCTGCAGCCTGTGGGTGCTTCAGAGAGGTTAATATGAGAGAATTTATCTGTCTGATAAACCTGGTTAAATATTCAAATTCCCTCTTCCACCCCATCTGTCCCCTCCCACCTTTCATCGTCTTTGGCAAGGCAATAAATTTTCATAATCTTCAACCAACAAAATTTACACCAGCAACACAAGTGAAGTCCAAGAGGCAAGTATTTCCCGCGATCACAACGTGGGCCTCAGGTCCTCCTGGCCTAGGACAGACTCATGTCATCAACATAGGTCCACTGTGTTGGGAGGCAAGGGACTCCTCAAAAGGCTGGTGCCCCTCTCCACTAGTAACACCTCCCTCCTGTGAAAGATCCTGGGTCCCGGCTCTGCTTTCTTCTCTGCCCCTCCCTCATTTCCCCTCTTCTCAACTCTTGCCCAGTTGCAAACCCTCCCCACCCACACCCTGAGCATACAGAACATCTCCTTTTCTGACGTTTATTTTGGGAGGAAAGTAACAGCAAACAAACTAAACACACACACACACACACACACACACAGGGAAGCAGACACAGCACCTTTGCCAGACTCCCCAAAGACCACATGCCTTTTCTCTAAGCTAAGTCGGGCCTGAGACTTGAGATCTGCCCTCCATAGGGACACCCTGGGACCCAGGAAGGCAGGCGACTTTGCACCATCCTCCTGGCAGTGCAAATTCTGGAGGCCCAGCTCTTGGCTAAGGGTATGAGAGAGGGCAGTATGACCTCAATCCTCTCCCCTCCGTGAATAAGATTCCCGCTTCCCCCAGCACCCACTCCTCCCAGTGCCCTCAGACTCCCAGGCTGCGGCGACCCTGTGGAAATTGCAGTAGCCATGGAGCCTGGAAGCCTAGAGGCGCGCACTGCGTTACCTGAGAGGTCCTCGCGGGCGTTCTGGTGCAGGTAGCTCTGCTCCAGCGAGTAGGAGGACATGCTCGAATGCAGGCCTGCCGTGGCAGCGGGGTTGCTGCTTGGCGTCAGGGAGGGCGGCTGCTTGAGGTAAGGCGAGGCGCCGGGCGAGCTCCAGTGCGCCGCGGGGCTCGTGTAGGGAGAGTGGCACTCGATGGCGCTCGCCATGGCTGGGGACGAGGGCACTGGGCTGCTGCTGCTGTCCGGGCCGTAGTCCCCTCCGCCGCCGCCCCCAGCCGCGCCGACACCCCCAGGCCCGGCGGGCACGGGGCAACTGGCCATGTAGGTGGAGCCCGGGTTGGGCGACATATGCGGGACGTGGTGGTGATGGTGGTGGTGCGGATGCGCGTGGCCCGGGGCGCCGGTGCTGGCGTCGTAGCCCGCGGGCATCATGTCAAGGCCGCCGTAGCCGCCCTGCCCGTGGCAACCGAGCGGCGCCGATGGGGGCGCCTGGAAGTCGAAGCCCTGTGGCAGCAGCGAGGCGCCAAAGCCCAAGCCGCTCACTACGCGGTGGTACATGGGCTTGAGCGCCTGGCATTTCCGCCTGAAGCCGCGCGGCCGGCGGCGGAACGAGCCCTCCTCGAACATGAACTCACTGGCCGGGTCGATGGTCCAGTAGTGACCCTTGCCGGGTCGCCCAAGGCCCTTGGGCAGCTTGATGAAACACTCGTTGAGCGAGAGGTTGTGGCGCACGGAGTTCTTCCAGCCCTGGTAGGCGCCGCGGAAGAAGGGGAAGCGCGCCTGCAGGAACTGGTAGATCTCACTGAGCGTCAGGCGCTTGCTGGGCGAGCTCTGTATGGCCATGACGATGAGCGCAATGTACGAGTAGGGAGGCTTCTCCGGCCGCCGCAGCCCCGAGCTCGCCTTCTTGGCGCCCCCGCTCCCGACGCCCGCGCCGCCGCCGCCGCCGCCGCCGCCGCCCGCGCTCTTGCAGGCGGCCGAGGAGGCGCTGGCCGAGTTGGAGGAGGAGGAGGACGAGGAGGCACAGGAGGCGGAGGAAGACGACGACGACGAGGTGGTCTCCAGGGCGGCGGCGGCGGGCGGCGGGCTCATCAAGGCGGCCTGGAGTGCGCCGGGGGCCGGGCTGCACGCGCGGCGGAGCGGGGCTGGCGGCGGGCGCGGCGGGGGCGGCGGCGGCCCGCCCTCGGTGGTCATCTGGGACCCGGGAGCGAGGCCGGGCCGCGGGGGCGGGCCCGGGGCCGGGAGCGGAGGCGCCGGAACGGGGTCGGCCCAGAAGCCCGGCGAGCGCCCTAGTCCGCCGCCCGGGCTGCAGCGGTGGCCACTCCGAGCCAGCGCTTCGGCGTCGCCTCCCTCAGCTCCGCTGGGGCTTCTGGCGGCGGCGGCGGCGGCGGGCCGGAGGCAACGCCCGGCGCATCCCTCCCCTGAGCCTCGGGCCCCTGTCTTGCGCAACGGCCTACCGGCCCGTGGAACCAAACCGGCCGGGTGCGGGGCAGCTGCGCCCGCGAGCTGGGACCACTGCAGGGACCCCGAGGACGAGCCCGACGTCTCTCTTCAGGAGCGCTCCTCGCTCTGTCTCTCAGACTTCCTCCCTCCCGCGCCCTCCCCCCGGCCGCCTCCCTCCCTCCCTCCCTCGCTCCCTCCCTCGCTCCCTCCACCCCCTCCCCGCCCTGCCCCCTCCAAGCTCCGCGCCGCCTTGGGGAGGGCGCGCTCGGCCTCAGCGCTCACTCCACCCCCCTCCCAACCTGGCTGCAGGCTCCGTCTCTTATCTCGCCCCTCTCTCTCCAGGGTTCTCCTCGGCCTTTTAATTCCTCTCTCGGCCACTTTCCCTCTCACCTACCCCCCCTCTTTCAAACGGAGGGACCACAGACTAACTCACATTTTGCTAGGACGAACCCCATCCCCAGCAAAACTCGACCACCTATATAACTTTATGAGATCTTCTTTCTCGTTGCCCCTTACAGCACCCCTGCCTCCCATCCCAGAAACCAAGCACCCCCTTCGGAGCTGACCCACCCATTCTTCTCCTCTCCGCTCTCCTCCTCCTTCTCCCTCTCCTCCTCCCCCCTCCCCCCAACCCACCCCCACCCCGTCTCCGTCCTCCACCCCGTCTCCGTCCTCCTCCTCCTCCTCCTGGCTCATCCTGGGCCGAGTGGTGCTGCCGCTGGTACTGGGGCTGCTGCCGCTGGTGCTGGGGCTGCCGCCGCCGCCGGGAGTCTCCTTAGCTGCCTTCCCCCGTGCCCGCACTGACACCATCTGTCAACTTCATTTAGACATTACAGCCCTCAGCCACACGCCAGGGTGCCACACGCCCAAAGGTAAAGTGCCAATGCTCTCTCTTTCTGACAGGGCCTGTAAGCTCCGCAACAGTTGCTAGTAGAGGGCGAGAAGCCGAGGTTCTGCAGAACACCCCTCTTCTCCCCCGCCCGCCGCCCCCGTGCTGCCGGAGCGATCATGAACAGTTTGGGAACTTTGAGAAGAGGGGTATAGACAGAGAAAATTCAACCAAGGTTTAGAGACTCTGGAAACACAGTCGAATAGAATTCATGTTTGCGTTGGTTTCCGCTTCTTTTCCGTTTTCCACTTGATGGTTTGAAAGAAAGAAAGAAAGAAAGAAAGAAAGAAAGAAAGAAAGAAAGAAAGAAAGAAAGAAAGAGAGAGAGAGAAGGCTGAGGCTGAGTGAGATAAGTGAGCTAGCTTTATTTATATTCAGTCCTGAAGGGGTGTGTAACTGTCACTCGATTTACCTCCTTAGTATCATGTTGTCCACCAAAAATGCTGTGCCATCTCCTAGCTGCCTTATGTAGGAGAACACTCCACCCAGTGTGGCTAATTCCTCTCTAAGTAAGAGTGAGGCTGGGAGAGAGGATGTGCCCTCAGGAGGAATCACTTCCAATGAGACCCGACAGTTAGTTATTGGATTACACGTGCAAGGAAATGTAGTCTGACCAGGGACAGGGGCTGGAAGTGGGAGGAGGAGAGCCTGAGGCCTGGGAGCTGGCTGGGCCACACAAGGGCTAATGCAGGAGGCCCAGAAGGGGAGGTGCTGCAGACCCAAGGACCAAACAGGAGGCTGGGCTGGGCACACCTCTGTGTCAACTCTGAAGGGACTAAGGTGCAAGTATGTGTGCTGGGGAGCCTGGGGAGAGGGGTAGGACGAGAGAATCTGAGATCAGTCTGGGATCCAGAGAAAGGCCAGCTGCAAAGAGCCTTGGAACAGAACGGAGGCAGGTTTTGGGGGATGGCACCAGCAATCTGTGCCCCTGGAGATACCATATAGAGTGTCTGCTTCTGCTGAGCGTGCTGGTGGGGCTGTAGAAGCAGAGGAGAGGGAGGGGTGAGAAGGGGGAAGCTGGGGGCTGGGCTGGGGCTGGCCCCAGACAGTGACCTGAAGTTGAGTGGAAGCAGGCTTTTTCCATCAAACCCTGCCTGGATACCACACACAGAGACCGAGTGTCAGTTTACTGCCCTGAGCCGGGCTCCTTTTCCCTAAGCTCCACAGTAATTAGACAAAGAAAACCTAAATTAGCTGAACAGGCGTCGACAGCTTCCTCCAGAGCACCCCTGGTACCTACATGGGAATGTGTCCGAAAATGGCTTGATTGTAGCCGAGAGTCAGCTAAGAAAACACGGCTAAAATGAACTCAGTTTACCGCTCATTTCCAATAGAAAAAAGAAACAAGTCAGTCTTTTCCGGATGGGATGTTTTGATTGAGTTGGGGTAGGGGGGTTTGCAGTTGCTTCTACTTCGAAGAATTTCTTTCTGAGTGACTTAGGAGCATATTTTGGGGATGGGTCCCTATTTATTTCAGGTTTGTTTTCTCTTACCCCCTTTTGTCATTTTTACATGGGATAATTTAAATGTAAGTAACTAAGTTTAGAAGTATATATGGTGGGCTCACTAAATCAGTGCTTTGAGTGTCAGAAAAATAAATACAATAGAAGCTGGAGTGAGGAGGACAGATAGTAACTAAAAGGAGCCCCACTGACATAGCCTTCAGTGTGTGTGTGTTTAGTGAGAATAGAATTGGCCCAGGTGGAAGCATAAGGAAAGGAAGGCAATCATCTCATTTGTAGGAGGGGGTGATGGACAATGCATTTTGGAAAAATTCAGCAAGCAAGTAAATATCACTGTCACTGAACCCCGATTGTCCACACCTAGGAATTCTATGTACATTGGATTTCAGGCCCTACAAGGTTTTAGGACCCAGAGACGGAAAAATAAAAAGCACCAACCCTAAAATTCAAGTAGGTTAAAATATCAGGGAGTTTTAGAGGCTCCCTTCCCTATCCAATCCAAGTGACAATGGTATTCATTTTACCTAAACTCTTCAAACTTGCAAGAAATACCACCAATAGTTTGCTGAGTGTTCCAGGAGGCTAGACAGGTCCTGAAAAGGCAGTAGGCATTGGAGTTACAGCTCCATCCAGGAGCAGTTCTGCTGACTTGAAACCTTTTTCTCTCTCCAGGGGTCTAAATACTACCCTGCACTCCACAAAAATGTGGAAGTTAATGACCTTAGTTATCTGAGCAGGAAGAGGCTCTTCTCTAAAATTCTTTCTTGCAGACCCCATTTTTGCCTATGGAAATTCCCCAACAGAGACCCCTAGGTCTAGAAATACAAAACCTCTGCATTTGTTCCTTATAGACTTCACAGGCACAAGGCTTTCCACTCACATCATGTCACCATCATGTGGTCTAAATACAGTTAATCTCCCCTTTAGCCATAAGGAAACAGGGGGTCAGAGAGATCAGATGACCTGCTCCAAGTCACACCTGGGGAAGTGACAAAACTGGACTGTAGTGGGGGGCCTGGGATCCCAGTTCAGTGCTGCTTCCACTACCTTGCAGCAAAACCTCTCAACTATGATTTAATTACTGATTTATACAGGTCTCCTGGGTAAGAATGAGTGTGATAACAAATCATGTCAAATTCTTTATCCCTGGCAAGAATATTTGAATTTCTGTTTAGAAGAGTTTAAAAGGAAAATTGTCTCTGATACATAGCCTTGGTTAGGACGGTTCCCTCTCTCCGAAGTCCTTTCTTATGGTGGTGAGCTCTTCCCGACTGACTTTCATTGCCTTATAAACAACAAAAATCTTGATTTATTTTTTCTTACTGGAAGGAAAGGTATGGTTCGTTAAAATAAATATAGATGAGCCCAGGCTGCTCCTCGCTTAACCAGAAATACACAGGGTCGGTGCAACCGCCCTCTGTCCATCTCCGGTGCTCTGTCTCTCTTTGGTTGACTGTCTCTGTCTGGGCTGCGGGTTCCTTTCCCGCTCCAAACCCCAAGGCCCCGCCCCTGCTCCAGCGCAGGGGAATGTAAACTTCGGGGAGCTTCGGTTTCTCCGATTTTGTTTTGTAATCGGCGTTTTATTCTAGGAAATTTCTTCATTATTGCGGTTTAAATTTTATGTTCTTAGCATACTTCCTCTGCTTCGTGGGTTTTACATGAAATGGCTTAGACTAAACCAGTTACCCACCGGAGAGACGCGTCCGCACCGACACTGTTTACCGCCATCCAAGACCTCTCCTCCTCCCGGCACTTCTCGCTCTGCTTGCCCCTCCCTTCTTCCGCCAGCCTGGCTGGAGGAAAGCCTCTTCCCAAATCAGTCTGAAACTGACCACTGTATTCACCCTGTGTTTTGGCACACAATTAACCTGTGCAGAGGATTCTCCAGCTCCCGCGAGGCCTTTCTGGATGGGGACGATGGGCTCAGTGCTGAGGCCCAGGGAGCGTCGGCTCGTTTGAGGAAACCAAGAAAGACCACGAGCCTACACGCTACAGAGGCCCCTCTAGAAACTTTAATTTATAATAGAAAATCCGGCCAGGAGGCCAGGAGAAGGCTACGAGGAGAGGGGAACTTGGCAAGAAGGGATAACGGTGGGGATTTTACACCCTTCTCCGCGTCTGCTCTTCTTCCTCGGTGCAGAAACCCCCAGACCTCTGGGTTTGAACACCAGCCACCCAATTCCAAGTGTTTGTTTGGATAGATTTTTTTCCCGCTCTCCAAATGCCTGTACCCAGCAGAGCTCTTTATAGCCACCTTCCTGAGAGATCCGCGGATAGCCCCCATCTCCTGGACCTCGTGGTAGGCATGACTTGATACCTCGCTTGACCTGGTCTGAGGTGCTTTGGAGAGGAAGAAAAAAGGGATCCAATCTACCAGAGTCCCATGTGGAGACTGCGCC